CGGAATATGTAAAGGGGATTTCCAGGCATAGACCCAGATGGTACACAATCAGATCCACACGGAAAAACTAGCGTACAAGGACTCAGTACACGCATGGAGGCAAACGACGAATGACGAAAAATGACTAGTTACGCATCGAGGCGGTGAAGCGTGCATTGTTAACCAGCCTTGAATAAAGTTCTTAACCTTGATATGATTTGTGGTAGGTAATTGCGAGTTCAGATGACCCATCATGTGTCTAATAGCCTATGCACAACCGAGCATCGGAATGACGAGAGTGGCTGTACGGCTGGGGTCTGACGAATCGCCAAGTATGTGGTATTGCTCGTTGTGTACTGTTAATACGCTTTTATGGTGTTGATAGCTCATGTTGATGGTTGGACTGCCATTATGGAGTATTTTACTTTTCAGCGCCTCTTGACTTCCCATGCAACGGCAGCAGAGATCAGGTTAGTCGATTGACAACAACATTGCGAAGATCATTAGCGTGATGCGTGATGGGGCATACAGAGGCGTATAATCCGTGTTAGGTCCAGAGCAATACGAGAACACCATTTCTACTGATCACCTACAACACTCCAACCCATATCGCACCAATGCACAGCAAAGCAAGTTTGCAAGTTCTGCGAGATTCGTCTGTCTGTCGTCAAAAATAACACTACCCAGATATATATATATATATATATATATATATATATATATATATATATATCACTACATGCTTCTACTATACTAATAGGTACATCAACATCCATGTACATTTCATTATTTACTGGGTGGCCGTAAGCATATATCAATGTCAGAAATCGATAATTCACAGAGTTGAATGATGCGGAAATATTGAATAATGTTGAAATTATTTCCAAAATGCTCAGAGAATAAATGCAATGTGTATCGCTCGGCCGATTACTGCCGCGGGCAAACACTAGTTATTAGGCACAAACCCACAGCGTACGTTCAGGCCGACGCAATACCTACCCACCTGTGAGCATGACACTAGGTTCGCATGCAGCTATATGTGAATGTCATCAAACGTGTATTTGTTTGAAAAATCTAGTGTAATAGTCACGCACGATATGAGAGAAGCCATCACATTTGGGACGGGGAAATCAATCACGTTGTGTCTTTTGGGCTGCAAGCGTAGAAAGATGGAATCTCTACGTTTCATGGCACCCCGCCCCCACCCCCTTTCCAGAATTTTTGATATTTACCTCATGGCAACCGATGAAAAATTAAATGCAAAATGAGTATGGGTGACACCTTTTTTGAGCCGTTCCTCTGCCTAGGTCTCGGCACGCAGCGCCAGTTCACATATTACCTTTCCAGCCAAGCACTTCCATTTACTTTCCAGCCGTCTGATGTGAAATCTCGAACTTCATTGCTTGGCATAGCTGTTCCGCGTTTATAAACTATTGCAAGGTGCTCCAGATGATTCCTGGACGCAGCGTCATTGAGCTAAGTCCACTCCCAGTTACCAATAGGGCCAGTGATAGCCATGAGCGGACTCTACGTTTCGGCCGCCAGCACCATCTACCCATTTCAAACGTGTCTGTATAGGTTCGATCGGTGCAGCGACTAGTGGAATTATCATAAAGCTGTTTAAATGACATCGGAAATATTCTAGCTCCGGTTAGCTTTTCACAAACAGTACCACGGCCTCCGGGTCAAATAACCAGAGCCTGCGTTAAGGTCTACGCAATACCCGCACGAGCCTTCGAGCGTGAAACACGTTGTGTCTGCGGCTAAATGTATTTACCATGAAAAGTATGTTTACCTGAAAAATCAAGTCTAACGGTCACATATGACACGTTGAAACGAAACACACATCCCAACGAGCACACAAGAGAAGCAGAGTTGACAATAGAGTTGGCCGGTGATAGGTATGAGCAGACTACACCATTCGGCCGTCAGCATTATCTGTCGATTTCTAGCGTGTCAGTTCAGTTTCCATCAGTGAAATCGGTAGCCGACACTTTCCCAAAACTACCTAAATGACAATTCATATGTTCATGTTCGCGGACTATTCCCGGGGACCAGCGCTGCTAACTGGGCAAATGGGAGCAGCGTGCCATGTGCCCAGTTATCCGACGTAATACCTAACAGCCTGGGTATTACGTCGGATATCATGGTCAGGACCCTGAAAGCATTGTAGCCGCGATGGATTATTCCTCGGGGCCCACCATGACGTGTTGGGCACAAAGCCACAGCGTGCGTTAAGGCCAACGCAATACCTAACCGCCTGCAAGCCTGATACAAGGCTTGTATGCGGTTATGTGTGTATACCATAAAACGCGTTGGTCACACATTACAAAACAGAGAAAATGCTACGTCAGTACAGGAAAATGAATCAGGAAGTCCACTTCCGACTGGTAGCGCCCGTCGCCAAATCACCATTTTGAACCAATACTCATCTCCATTACGACCCCCTGCCATGAAATGTCTAATTTGCCTCCATGACCGAACTTTGCTACATTTAGAAAGTACTGGAAATCCAAATGATTCGTGAATAAAATTGCATTGAAATCTGTACACTCGATGTTACCAATAGTGACCGTTGATAGACATAAGCGGTCTCTACGCTTCGGCCGCCACCATTGTCTGGCCATTTCAAACGTGCCAGCATAGTTTAAATCGATGATATCACTAGCAACATCATTTTAAAACTATGCATACAATTCCGCTATCATCATGGAGACAGTGGACCCATCCTTCCTGAACAACATGTTATTCGGGTGTACCCACTCGGAGTTACCAATACGGCCAACGCTAGGCGTAAAGCGAACTCTTTACGTTTCGGCCGCCAGTATCATTTGTCCATTTCAAACGTGTCAATATAGCTTACATCGGTGCAACGACTAGCTGACATCATTCTAGAGCTGTTTAAAAAGGGCATCTCAAAATTCTAGCCTCGGTTAGCTTTGCACGGACAGCACCACGTCCTATTGGGCACATAGCCAGGCCTGAACAATACCCACACGCCTGCGAGCGAGAAACACGGTGTGCATGCGGCTAAATGTGTATACCATGAAAGGAACGTTTACGTGAAGAATCAAGTCCAACGGTCGCACATGACACGTGGAAAAGCAGCATACATCCCAACGAGCGCACCAGAGACGCAGAGTTAGCAATAGGGCCGGTGATAGGTATGGGCGGACTCTTTACGTTTCGGCCGCCAGTATTATTTGTCCATTTCAAACGTGTCAGTATAGTTTCCATCGGTGCAACGACAAGTGAACATCATTATGAAGCTGTTCAAACAGCATCTGAAATATTCTAGCTTCGGGAAGCTTTTCACGGGCGGTACCGCGGCCTCCAGGGCACATAACCAGAGCGCGCTTTAAGGCCTACGCATTACCCACACGAGCCTTCGAACGTGAAACACGGTGTGCATGGGGCTAAATGTATATACAACGAAAGGTATTTTTACTTGAAAAATCAAGTCCAACGATCGCACATGACACGTGGAAAAGCGTACTTATCCTAAACAGCACACGATGCAACAAGAGTTACCAATAGGGCCGGTGATAGGCTTAAAACACAGCTCTTTACGTATCGGCCGACAGCATGGCCTGTCCATATCAAACACTTTCTTAAAATGGTGTTGCTGATAGTTGCATCGATTGAAAGTAAATTGGCACGTTTGGAATGGGTGTATAACGCTGACGGCCGAAAGGTAAAAATTACGATTATGCGCATCAACGGCCATACTATTGACTGGAAGTGGACTCACCTAAAAGGCATTTTGTTCAGGAATAATTTCAAACACCTTGCAGTCGTTTCCAAACGCAGCAAAGCAACGCCACGCATTGCAATTGGAGAGTTTATAGCAGACGGCCGGAAGGTAAATTAAAGAGTTGGGCTGTAAATGTAATACAAAATCTGGCGTTGACACCCGAATCATAGACGGAGAAACGCCTCAGAAAGTAAGGGAGCTCATAGTCATATTGTAGTCGATTCTTCCCATCCATTGTCATAACGTTAATGCTCTACATATATTCTCAGACAGTGTCTAATGATGAGGGTGCCATGACACACGGAACCCGCGTTTCAAGTCTAGGAGAAACCATTGCCGTCTAAACCGTGTCAAAATGATGTCCACCACTGTTTGCACCGATGGACACTATTTTGGAATGCTTGTTAAAGACCGATAATGCCGGTAACCGAAAACGTTGAGCGAGTTCATGTCTTTTTCCGGCCCCATTGGCAGCTCAGTGTGGACATGCTTGAATGCGGTTTGTTCATGGATTACTTGGACCTTCTTGCAGTAGTTTCTTGAGGAAGCCTGCTGGGAAAGGTGGTTTTCTGCCATTATCAGTTTCCCCAGTGATACGAAACGAAGACCATAACTCGTGTCAAGTGACGTCATGAGCAGAAGGTAAAACGCAGCCTATTTTTCTTCATTTATTTTTCAAATGGCACAAGAATGTAAACCACGAGTACATACCTAACCTAACCTAACCTAACCTAACTAACCTAACCTCCCCACCCTATATCCCCTTCAACCCAGCATGTCATTGGCATCCATGTTCCATGCCATATATAGGTGCCATATAGTGAGCTTTTATTTAGCTGCCATGTTCTCATTTTGCTTTACATTTCCCACCCAATCCCCCTGCAACCCATGGTCCCGTTGGCGTCGGGGATCAAATTTCATGGATTCTTGCTACCTTGTCCCGGTACATTTTTATGGTTCGCAGTAAATATGGTTTATAGCTATAGTATGGTTTATATAGTATAGTTTATAGTTATAGTTATGGTTTATAGTATGGTTCGCAGTTAATATGGTTTATATGGTAAATATGGTTATGGTAAATATGGTTTATGTTCAGTAAATATTTTTATGGTTCGCAGTTAGGTTATGGTTGTCCTGCCTTGAACATGACGAATGGTTTACTTTGGTCCCGTACATTTTGTACAGTTCTTGGTACGCAGAAATATTGTATTTACGCAACGGCAACGCGGAAACGGCGCTGGGGAGTCCAGGCGGTGCGGTGCGCGCGGCGCTCGGGGGGCCCGCCATCGAAGTTATTGAAATTCGAAGGTAGGAGCATGATTCTACCTGTTTTGAGATTATTTACGATATGTCATGCCTTAAACACGACGAATGGTGTACAATGATTTTTCTAACGTTACGTAGGAAAGTACACCCTGACCGCTGCAGTCATTTCTGACATCAGTATTTATATGATGCAATTAAAGCATTGTTTTGTGTGATACTTGGCGCACATGTCACAGTGCTATCCTATAACCTGTTCATTGTGTGACAGCTTTGTTCATTGTTAATATTTCTGATACTGATCATTGATGTCCTGAATTGTTTTCAGCACAGGGAAGGTGTTCCTGGCACCCCAGTGCTTCCTGTGTCTACACCATCTCAGAGATCAGAATTCTGGTCAGAGTGTTTTCTTTTTGGGTCGGATTTTGAAAATTAGTTTACTTTTGAACAAGAAGATTGAATTTGTTTTACAAAAATGATATTACAAACTGCATTAAGTAATGACATAAAGATGATTAAATTTGCAATAATGATTGATATTGACATTGTCTTGTAATGATCATATCATGCCAAACACAAGGAACTTAATAAGACCTACAGGGACTTAGAGGACTACATGAAACACCTAGATGACTAAAGGAACTAGCAGCCTGAAATCTGTCTATTTAGTGAAATTGCACATTTGCATGTAGTATTGTATGGACAATGCTGTCTAAAACATTACTGCAGCTTGTTTGCTCCTATGCTCTAAAGCCAGAGCAGAGTTACCAGTAAATCCCCACCTTAGTTGTCGCAGTCATCATTATAGGTATTAACTCCACATCTGCAGTCTATTGCAATTTCCATTTCACACCGTGTTATGTTCCAGACGATCGGCAACAAGCAAGAAGCTGGTGGTATCCAGCAGCACATACATGATCCTGTGACGTGCAATGCGAAAGGCTGGCCTACCAACAGTCAAGCGTACCATCCTGCATCTTGCTAAAGGGTAACCATTGGTTTGTTTAGGCAGCAGAGTGCTGTTTAGACTACACAGCCTTGTACCATGCAGCATGCACACAGCTTCAGGAGCACTGCTTGTGTGTACTGCACTTGGCTATGATTGTTTAACAATGGTGCCTGATCCTATAAGGAAGAGGTTATCACCCATTTTTCTATGCAAATTTTCTCGTATCTCAAAGATCTTTATAGTATGATGTGCGTTGTTCCAAACATGCCGCACCTCTTACTACCGTACTGGACGTGTGAATTCAATTAGACGTCAACAATTAATTCCGAGCCTGTGAATGGCGTTTGCCATCCGCATGATTGTCGTGAGTGCAAAATAAATCCGCAGCTTTCAGTCATGTTTATCCTGTGGTTCCCCTTTTTGCGTTTTTAAGCAGTGCTTCATTTCACCACAGGTACCTGAGGGACCTGGTGGTGGCGATGGCGATAGGGAGCACGCCGGAGGCGACAATGTGGGTGGCGATGGCGACACGGGAGACGCTGCGCACTTGGCTATGCCGAGTACGTCACGGACGTCTCATTCGCCGATGTTAGTAATGTCTTCTAATAATGTGCATGTCCCTTTCTTTATTAAGAAAAATTGATAACAGAACTGTAACAATTTCTGTTGTGATATAGGCCTCCCGGCGCCGGGTCATGTGACCCGTCAGATCAGTTGACGGATCACCAGCTGACTCGTCCCCGAACCCGCGGGGCAGTGGTAATCCGGTCGCTCGCGCGTGCGCGCGTCGCTGTCGTGAGGTAATGTACGAGCCGAGCTAAGATCGTGCAAGTGAGACCAAAACAACTTCAACACTGTATATTTCAAGCCAGTGCCAATGCTAGTTAATGACAGTGATGGGTATTCAGCTTGTCATTAAGGCTCAGTAAATTTCTTGGCGGTTTGTGGTCAGCCTGCTCTAATAATGCATATGATTGTCATAAGCTGAAGCCTTAAGCTAAACCCTAGCCGAACCGTGACGTTTCCACCGCTCGTTATCTTTTGCTTCACCGAGCGCGACCTGGACCGGATCCACGGGCGACCCTCAGCCGTGAGGCCGCGGCCGCCACGTGACCGTGCCGCCGTCTGACCTCGTCTGCCCCTCCCCGCTAGGTGTTCGTGGAGGCGAAGCGGGTGGCCGACTTCATGGCGTCGTACCTGTGTCAGGCTGGCTTCCCAACCACCAGCATCCACGGCGACCGGCTGCAGCGCGAGCGCGAGGAGGCGCTAGCTGACTTCACGTACAGCAAGACGTCGACGCTGATCGCCACGTCGGTGGCCTCGCGCGGCCTCGGTGAGTGTGGCCGCCGCCCTGGGGCCGTCCTTGTCGGCGGGGCTCGTGCGCTCGTGGCCGAAAGCGAACGCTGCGTGGTTGGACGCCAGGCGTGTTGTGTCGTGCGTCGTGATCAGGCGTCGTCGAGATTGTCATCAAACAGAGGTCGAACTGTTGTGCCCTCCCCTGAGCAATTATTGTACCTGCGTTTGGAGTTAATCCATGTTAATGTCAGAAAAGATCGGAACGAAAGTAAGCAGGGGTAAGCAAAGTCCCCGATCCAACAGTGAACGTGATCCAGTTTGCATTAGGACAGCGCTTACCAGAGATGAATTCGTTGGTAGTAGTTTGTTATTTTGTTGGTTATGTTAAGTAGACTGTTGCGACATGCCGGATGCTGTTCCCACTGCATCCGCATGACGCGGCGCAGCCCTGGCTGACCGACGCCCCTCCCCCAGACATGAGGGGCGTGGCCAGCGTGGTCAATTACGACCTGCCGAAGGCCATCGACGACTGCGTGCACCGGATCGGCCGCGTGGGCAACACCGGCAGCGCCATCAGTTTCTATGACAGCGCGCTGGCCGCCGACCTGGTGAAGATTCTGGCCGGCGCCGAGCAGGATGTGCCCGACTTCCTGCAGCGCGACGCCGGCAGCGCCGACTTCGGCGGCGCTGCCGGCGGCTCGTACGCGTCGCGCGACATCCGGCGCGGGTTGAGTCTGGCCTGTGCGGCAGGGACGTGACTGGCGCGGGGTGGCGGGAGGAACGCACCGACAGGGTGCATTCATGGTACTCGTGGCGAGCAACATTGCGACATTGTGCAATATCTCTGCTTATTTCAGTTACTCCTTACCCAGGATAATTATTAAGTGGAACGGCGGCCGCTAGATGATCAGACGAGAGAAACGACTTGTGTGCGGAAGCCAAGTTCTACCCAATTTCAATTCTACTCCCATGAAATCATTTGATGCCCCAGAATTGGCAACGTTGCCGATAAGGTAACGTACGTTTCCTACACTGCAACGGAAACTACGTTGCAGTATCGTCCTGACGAGGAAGCTCTGACTGTCAGTTTGGGGCACGCGAGTGTTCACGCATGGATTTCGCCGATGTGCTCCAGCCGTGTTGTCTCGTGTTGATTTGTGTGAACTCGCCAGCCTGGTGAAGTGGTGTGATCGGCTCAGGTCACGGTGCGTCCGGCCGGTGACGCCCGGCATCTGACTGACTGTTGGCCCGTGCGCCCCCAGTTCGGCGGCGTCGCCGGTTGCATGGGCGGCGTGACGGCCGGCTACAACCAGCAGCCGGCCACCATGGAGGCAGGGGAGGGCTGGGACTAGCGCCCGGGCCGGCCCGACTCGGCGCCGCCCCACCGTGCCCCGTGCCGTGCCGTGTCGTGGCGGCTGTAGATAGCGTTTCCGTTGTGTTAGCCGGTTAGCCGGCGACCGGCGTCCGCGCCTGGTGGGAGCACCGGGGTGGCGACGTTGCGCACCGGTAGCGCGAAGACGGCACACCGCATTTTGTGACTGGCGGCATTCCATGAGGAAGCTTGGCTTCGTGCCCGTATTCTGTGGCGGAGCAGGCGGGGGCGGGACCAGTCGACAGAGAGAGAGAGAGAGAGAGAGAGAGAGAGAGAGAGAGAGAGAGGAGAGAGAGAGAGAGAGAGAGAGAGAGAGAGAGAGAGATAGACAGAGAGACAGAGACAGAGACAGAGACAGATACCAGAGACAAGAGAACAGAGACAGACAGAGACAGAGACAGAGACAGAGACAGAGACAGAGACAGAGACAGCAGACAGAGACAGAGACATAGACAGAGACAAGACAGAGAGGAGACATAGACAGAGACAGAGAAGAACCAGAGACAGAGAGAGACAGACAGAGACAGAGAGAGACAGACAGAGACAGAGAGAGACAGACAGAGACAGGGAGACGGAGACAGAGGGGGAGTCGCGCCCGGCCCCCGCGTCTCAGGACGGCAGGCGCCGCTCGAGGCGCGCTGTGGCGTCTGGGGACAGCCGGCACGTGTCTGCCGGGAGCCGACCCGGACCATGCAATCCGGAGCTGCGTGCACAGCACGCGTTCAGTTATTCTAGTTTATTGAACTCGCGTAGTCGAATAAATACGTGTTTTATTGGTCCGTCTCTCGAGTCTCCGGGACCTGGGACAGAAGCATTGACACTTAAAGCGCGAAGGCTACTGTCCATCGTCACCATCACACTGACTCGGCCCGCCAACGAGACTTCACACGGACGTACTGCGCGCCGGTACTGGCGCGGACGCGGGAGCGCACCGCGGCTGCGGGCCCGGCTCACTACAGCCTGACGGTGTCTAGGAACTCGTGGCTGTAGGGCTTGTCGCCGAAGAAGCAGTCGAACTTGGGCGCGGCGTCCGCAGCCGGCATCACCAGCACGCCGTCGGGCGGGCTGCAGTCGTCCGCGGGTCCTGCCGACGGGCCGGCCGTCAGCGTCGCGGGCACGTGTTACGGGGAGGGCTGGAGGTGGACGGAGTCCGCCTCGCTGCAATTAGGATTCGAAAGCCAAACTGGCCGCGGTGCAGTGCAGAGGGGGGGGGGGGGGGGGCGAAAATGGGTGCCTTCCTGCCAGGGTGAGGGGTAAGCGACCTCATACGGTCTCAGCAGCAGTTTGTCGTTGGGTGCGTCGTTAAGCGCCAATGGCGACGGCAGAGACGATAGGCATGACGCTGATGCTTCATCTGCGTCCATTTACGCAGGCGGCAGCGTTAAGAAACACGGGTGGCTTATTTAGGATCCTCCAGCACAATCCAGCCCGGCTGGCCACATCCAAATTCTACACCAAGATCCGACGAGCCCAGGAGTACGGTATTCCACCCGCCGCAAGGCGTGGCGTGGCAGTGCGCGGGTCTCACCTTTGAACCAGGCGAGATCGGGGCGTTTGGAGAAGACTGTGGTGCGGGACACCTGTCTGTTCTCGGTCAGGGCGACGCACCCCACCTCTTCCAGGGTCTGGAGGAGGGGAGGGGGTTCATGGCGCGGCACGGTCGTGCGCGAGGCAGCTGGGCGCGCCGGCGCCACAGCGACGGTGGCAAGGCGGGTAGATCAAGAGGCGATGAACCCGACGGCCTGGTCGGGGGCGACGAACACACGGTAAGCATGAGCCAGAAAGCCTGGTTGCTCCGAGACGGATGGCCGCGCCCCAGCGCCGCCGGATGGGGGACAGACATCGCTCAGACGGCAGTCTTCCCCGCCTACCGCGTGAGCTGCACCCTTGACACGTAGCACACTGCGCGACCGCGTCTCCAGCGACGGAAGACCGGCCGCGCCTAGGCTGCGCAGGCTGCTGAGAGCTGGGGGTCGGGGTGGAGGCAGACGACACGCGGAACGACAGCAAGGCCGCACGGACCTCCAGCAGTTGGCGCGTCTGCACTGCCGTCAGCATGGGGTGGAAGTGGCTCTGGACGGCGGCGAGCGGGCAGGCCGGCCACGTCATGCAGTGGCTGAGCACGGCGTCGGAGAGCCGGTCCAGCACGCGCCGATTCACAGAGCCGCCGACGCGTCGCCACGGCGCCGTATGGAAGAACACCGGCTGCATGTCCCTGCTGGGCCCAGACAGGGCGGTGTCAGAGGGCGGCCATATGGCGCTGAAACACTCGTAAGCACTCGCTAACGTTGGATACGTAGCGAAGCGAAAATGGACTCAATGCTAACGCTGACAACCGCGTTCAAATATCACGTTTCCTTACAATGTTGGCCTCGACAGTTTCTGCATTCCCCAACAGCGTGTGCGGCGCGTTCTATAGCAATCCTCACACTCGACAAGCAATCCTACATACCTCCTCGTGAGCGGAACGGACACAGGCGGGGGAACCTCGCTATTCACCGCCAATCGTGTCCATCCCATTGTTGGGATTGCCATAACGAAGGTTCTAAACCATTTTTGACGAATGTGGATGCAAGATTGGATAATTATACCATGCTTTATCACTTCACCCCATCAAGTCCCGTCACCTTTCTAACGCCATACATGACACCATGAATTCCAATCAAGTTGAGTTAAAAAACAAACTTTGAACAACTCTCGCACGTATGTGCCAAACATATAATTTTCAAGCGCTATCAGCCTGACACCAGCGAGCTCACCACCACTGCCTCTTTGGCAGAGACATGCCGGAGCTGCCTCAGAACGTGTAAACGCTAGAACGGGCACCATACCGCGCGTATTCACAGCACCTGACAGCCCACGCGACAAACCACACCCTTCCCACTGTGTCCTCCACGGGGCACAAACCGCAGCACAAAAGCCGCCACCTACTTGCGGCTGGAAGAGGCTAGGTCGCCGCCGACGGCGGCCAGGCCGCTGGCGGCCGACTCCTGCTGCAGGCGCGTCAGGTGGTACGAGTGCAGCACCCAGCGCTGGCCGAGCGAGCGCGCCACGTACAGCAGACGCGTGACGCCGCCGCACAGCAGCAGCTCGTGCTGCACCATCAGCGCCACCAGACGCCGCAGCTCGGGCCGTGCCAGGCCGCTCTCCTCCTGCCCGGCCGGCGCAGCGGTGCGTCAGAGGGCCCGGCGCCCGCGCGCGCACTACAGTCACGGAACTCACACCGTCAGTCGAGACGGAACGAGGGTCAGAGAGGGGTCTGGTACACCTCAGACTCGGGCACGACTCTGCACCGGTCTGCACGACTCCGCACCAGCAGCTGCGCCGGCTCCATGCCCAGCGCGCCGGCGTCCTCCAGTATCGAGATCAGCTGCTTCACGTGCGAGGCGTCCCGGTCGGTGAGGGCACCCTCGGGGCCGCAGCCGCTCCAGCACGGCCGCCGCGTCCGGCGCCTCCTCCGACAGCAGAGAAGTCGGAAAATCCAAGGAAAACCCTGTTTGTTGGCATATTTTTGGGGATGCGTTATTTTTCATTGACCAGCCCCCAACCCATTTTGCGAGACTACACCGCTGTTCATTGCTATCGCATAACAACTGACGGAGCCCTACAGCCCGGCATGGCCCACTCCAGAATAAGTGAGTGTGCAGTCTGCGTGAGATGCGACACGAGTGACGCGGCTCGTCCTCGACTCTCAGTGAGTACAGCAGGAGACAGCAGGCCTCCGCCAGCCGACCCAGACACGTCCCCTCCGCAGCCCTGGACAGCTGACAACATCAGCCACAGCGCCCAGTCCGCCGGCCCGCAGTACTCTGCCAGAGCTCGGGCGCCAGAGCAGCGGCCTCACCTGGCGAGCTTGTCCCGCGCCGTCTGCGCCAGCCGCGAGCTGACCGGCATGTACTGCTCGTCCACCTCCATGGGGCCCTCGCCGTCGGCCGGGCCGCAAGCGGCGATCTCCTCCGGGGTCACCAGGCGCGCCAGCACCGTGAACGGCACGATGTGCAGCTGCTCGATGAAGTTGTGCGTGTCCTTCCTGGCGTCGGCAGCGGGGGCAGAGGGTGCAGGTAAGCACGGCGTCGGCCGGCCACCGACGCCAACATATCGGGCCGAGCGTCGCCGTTTGGGAAGCGGCTTCACCGGCAGCGTCCTGCCATCGGCGACGGCGGCGTGTAACCTTTCGAGCCTCTCGACACGGAGGTTTCAGGGCCAGAGCGCGGCGGCGGCCGACGCACTGCCGACACCGTAGGAGTGGACGCCGCCGTCAACGTCCCGCTCTCGCTACCTGCACCCATGCGACGCGGCTTCTGCCTCGGCCTGACCTCCGCCCGCCGCTGCTCCTGTCTCTCTCCGCCAACCTGACCTCCGTCCTCCCCTGCCCCGCTGACCTGACCCGTGCATGAGCCCTGCCCGTGGCCCGCTCACCTGTCGGGCCGGTCGCCGCCGGCCATCAGTAGCTCGGTGTCCTGGCTCTCGCGCCTAGCCAGCAGCACCAGCCTGGACATGGAGCGCTGGCCGACGCGGCGCTTGCCGCCCGACGAGCAGCCCAGCGCCATGCCGCCCCGGTCTGCAGCCGCCGCGTCGCCCCGGTACTCCCTCATACTCTGCCGGGGGACGCCGACGCCGTCAGGCCAGCCGGCGCCGGCCACCCGCGCGCCACAGACGGCGCTCACAACGCTCGGCCACATCACACGGTGGTCGGTGTGGGAGGGCGGAGACGGCAGGACCTGGCGCCGGCCGCTGCAGTTCGGACGTCATGCCCGGCCGCCGGACCCGCATGAGCGCTGTGCCCTGCTCATTCTCTTTGGTGCTTAGTCGGATCAGGTTGTCCGGCACGACCACGTCGTACAGGAGCTGCTGGCGGGAGCGACCGTCAGACGGGCACCGGTCCGACGCACGCGTGCACCCCCGGCCGTCACAAGCCGGAGTGGATCACCGGACAGACTTGCACGACAGCGTATTGCTGCGCAGCGGTCTCACTGTCCAAGACTGGCGAGACAGATTGCAACGTATGATAATAAAGCGGTGACATGCGTCGTAAAAACGACACGCACCCCGCACACAATAGTGTGGTTATCACATGGGAACCCGACACATTAATAAAGCCAGACGGGTCTGCAGGGTAACAATGTGGTCAACGCAAAATATAATCCTCAAAAAACACGGCAGAATCGAAATATACGGCATGACACCTGAACATCTCACAGGCAGGTACAGTCAAGCCCATACGCCGCCGTGTACCCCCCCCCCCCCCCCCTCCTTCTCTTCGGTTTCCGCGC